TCAGCCCACCCCTGCACTAAGAGCGCATGTGAAACCCACAGAAAGCACGAAGTTGGTGGGGTTTGTGGGGACGCAGCCCTGCTCCTGTGCCCCTGGGGCAGCCGAGACCAGCTTGTTGCTGCCTTCGGTGTTTCCTGGCCTGGTGGCCCTGAATCCTGTGGAAAGACCTCGGGGTGCTTGGTGATCTTAAAGGTCTTTTCCAACCTAGTTGATTTTATGATTCTATGCTCACATGTGGGTCAGCCAAGGGACCAGCACCCTTTGGCATGGTGACGGTGACAGAACAGCCCGTGTGGGGAGAGCAGAGCACATCCTGTCGTTTGTCTTTGCTTCTGTGTCTAAAATTCTGAAGTGAATCAGTCCTGGGTCCTTTCAATTATTTGTTCATGAACCAACAAATGAAATGCCCCATCCCTGGCAGTGTTCAGGACCACGTTGGACAGGGCTTGGAGCAACCTGGTCTAGTGGAAGGTGTCCCTGCCCGTGGCAGGGGGTTGGAACTGGATGAGCTTTAAGGTCTCTTCTAACCCAAACCAGTCTGGGATTCTATTTGATAAATGCTTTTTAGATGGTAACCATTGTCGATTTTGCTGCACCCGTGATTGTCGCATTGATGTTCTGCAGCATCTTGGGAAAAGCTAGGGGTTTCCAGCAAAATGGGCAGATCCGGAAAACTTTAGGCACCTTATGAGCAGGGTCTAAGCATAATGGTGTAGGATATTGTGTCCCTGCCCGTGGCAGGGGGTTGGAACTAGATGATCTTCAAGATCCAACCCAGACCAGTCTGTGATTTTATTATATTTCTTTTAAAAGCAGTAGTGTAACAGTTGATTGTAGTGACATTTAAAATGTCAACTTTAGATTTCAAACAGTCTATTGAAATGGATAAAGTAGGCTACACGACCAGCTGTGGATTTGGGAATACCAGCCCTGCCACCTGAGCTCCCCGGTTACTGCGTATGCCACATTAACATATGAATAGTTGATCAGCTGGTTTGCAACTATCGAGGTGTTTTGTACAGCCTGAAAATTGTATCAAGATGCTTCTCTTCTGCCCAAAATATCCACAGCAGCCAAAGGAAAGATGATGTGCTTGGGTATTATTTGACCTGAGCCATAGCCAAAGTAGTTAGCCCATGAAACTAAGTTAATTTAAGAGGTTGGGGAAGGTGAAAGAGGAAAAACTCACAAACCAAACAAGATAAGCATGAGAAGTGTTTGTCTTTAGTGAGAAGTTTTCCCAAATGTCTGTGGCTATCTATAAAACAAAAACCTCAATGAAAAATAAATGTTCGAATTAAGAGTCAGTTAGTAATTCTTCTCTGGTATGTCCTGTGGATGGACAAACCTTTAAGAAGGTCAGCCATGCAGAGACACTGGAAGTCTCTTGTAGTAACTGTGATATCTCTTGAGGAAAAAGAAGCATAAAAAATCAACTGTCCAATATTAATGGTTATAGCTTTGGTGATTAAAATAGAAATACTGAAAAACTCATTCAGTAACTTATTTTCCTGATTTTTCTCTAGGTTGTTTAAAATACTGTGCTAAGTTTCAGTTTTTGGAGTATTTAGTTATTGGTAAACTCCACTTGCAAGGTTTTGGTACTGCAATATAGCTAGAATGTTATCAGTCTAGCTGAACATACTGTTTTAAATAATTTCTGAGCATATGTGTGTATGAACATGTCACATTTTGCCTTTCAGAGCCCCTGTATTCATATTATTTATTTCCTTTTTCCTGAGAGTATGTCTGTGGGTCTTGGGGGAAAAGAATGAAAATCCTTCACTATGGGGATGATCAGACACTGGCACAGGTTGCCCAGAGAAGCTGTGGCTGCCCCATCCCTGGCAGTGTTCAAGGCCAGGTTGGACACAGGGGCTTGGAGCAATCTGGTCTAATGGAAGATGTCCCTGCCCGTGGCAGGGAATTGGAACTGGATGGGCTTTAAGGTCCCTTCACATCCAAACCGGTCTGTGATTCTATGAAAAGGGAAAAGTCAATCCCAGGAAAAATAAATCCAAACTACTGCTACTTGCAAACCTAGCAGCTGTGGTGCTTTTCCTCTGGGAGGAGCGACCTGTGCACCAAGGAGGCTTCACCTTGCTGCCTGGAGGGGCTGACAACCCATCCGTGAGCAGGTATTTCCTGCTGCTGTGCTCAGCAGGGCTGTGGGGCTGGCAGCAGGTTCATCACTCTCCTTTGCTGCTTCCCCATCACCTCTGCCACACTGGAGCAAATTGCCAGGTGCTGAGATTTACTGGATCAATTGTCCTATATTAAAAAGAGAAACCCAAACCCACCAGGGACCTTCACGTTGTGCATCCTGTCTGTGTAGTGTAAATACCCTCTGTGCTGCTCTTTCCGATTGACTGGTCCCTTGCAGAGGAGCCAGCCTGGGGGCCTGCAGAGTTTTCACAGCTCTAACAAAGCTCTGAAGGACAGGAAAGGACAACGGGCATTGGAATCTGACTGTTCTGCGCCAGCGCCCTCCTTACTGCAATTATATTCCTGTTAGAAACCTTCACCTTATTTAAAGAGACATTGTTACCTGCCCCAAAGCATCTTTTCCTAAATCTTACAAAGCCATTGAGATGTGTTTTAATGACACAAAGGAAAACATTGTAGATAAAGAACATTGATAAAGTAGAGATGCTTCTCCTTTTTTAGGGTCTTGTATCTAATGAATTAAAAGAGCTACATAAACTTCAATCAGTTAATCACTATAGTCCCTTTTGACAAAATTATTTCTGTTTCCAGATGAGGGGAGTGAGATGAGATGAGTGATCTGCCCACGGTTGTTCAGTGAGTTTTTGGCAGAGCACACAGGAGGCTCTGAAATTATCTGGCTTTATAGCATAACCCAGTATTTGATTGTCAGTCATAGGAGGAAATATTCCCCAGAGGCATCACGGTGCACTATGATGTAGTCCCTGCTCTAGGAAGTGCTCAAGCACATGCAGTATCAGATCCAAGATCCGAGCCTGAATGGGTTCCTGATCTTGGCTGCTCTGGTGGGCTGCACCTATCAGTGTACAGTGATGAAAGACTGCTCCAGGACTCGGAAGGGAGTTTGCTGCGAAACTCCAGGCTCACTACCCCTCACTTCAAAGACTGCAGATTATCAGGAACCTCCTAAATGCTTCTCTGACATGTGCCTATCTGTTGGCTGTCACCAGTGTCATTGTGCAGGTGGCTGGACTTAGTGTTTTAGAACTTGGTTGCTCTCCTGAGTCCTCTGGTCAGCTCCCATTTTCCTTGCATTTAATCACTGTTCTCAAGCTTTATGTCTGTGTTTCTTGGCAGGTGTCCTGTTCTTCCAGTATCACTACCATGGTACTTAAGGTCTTCTTCCCATCATGCTGCTCCTCGGCAGAAAGTGGCATCTTGGTCGGCCGCTGGCTCTCGGAGCAGAACTCTGCTGTCATCCTTGCTGTGGTGCATTTCCCTTTCATTCCTGTCCAGGTGAAGCAGTATCTCAGTGAAGTCCAACGGGTAACTAAAGTCAGTCTTTCTGTGCTCGGCTCCTGGAGCAACAGCAAACAGGAGACAGAAGAAAATCTCAGTAAATTCTTGGAAGACCTTGGCACAATATTCTCCCATGAGCCATGGATTCAGATTAGCAAAGAGGGAAACAGCAAATTCTGGAGCTGTTCTACTCTTCAGAAACACAGTAACAACCCTAAGGAGGAAGAAGTCATCTTAATATACTATGACCAGCGCAAAGTCATGCTTTCCCATCTGCATCCCCCTTTGGACACAGCTACCTCCACTGACCATGATGCTTCAAAGCTCTCTGCCATCTTCCACACAGTTGCAAAGAGTAAGATACTCTTCATGACAGACAGGTATGACGACGGGCCCATCAAGCTGACCCACTGGCAGTCAGATGGCGTTGAAGCCAGTATCATCGTGGAGCTGATGAAGCAGGCCTCTGTGCCTGCATGCATG